CGGTTGTTGTTGCTGGTGGTGGCGCGATTGTGAATGCGCACATAAGTTTGTTCCGTCACCGGTGTTTTCCGAGGTAAGGGTCGTGAAGTTGGCGGGGGTGGTGGTGGTCTTTTATGTGTTGTTGCTGCCTCATGCAGGACAGCAGTGGTGGAAGCTCTGGATCGCTTTACTGTGTCAGGTATTCGTGCGGTTCTGGGAAGGGCCTGGGGTCTGGGGGATTGGTGTTTCGACAAATGTATCGGGGACGTAGTAACAGCACAGCGCTCGCCGTTTAGAACTGGGGGAGGATTGGCCTTGTTAGCCCCCCTGGAGGACACTGGTCGATCCTCCCGCTGCCTTTCGTGCTCGAATACAGATGTTTGGGCTAAAAAGACGAGAGGAAAGTAACTCAGGATTACGAGTAGAAAGCCTTTGCGTTCTTTTTAATCGCGCCTTCATTTTAAAATGAATCCAAATGCAACCGGAGCTACAGTTTAGCGAGCTCTTCCGAACGCCTAAATAATGCCTTATAAGCCATCAGCTGCTCTCCCACTCCACATGGAGTTGGAGCTGCACACGGTAAAAAGGCAACCACCACGCACCGTGTCATAAGGTCGAACGACCCATTGGCATGGACCGAAGCGTTTGGAGTAGTTAACCAGGTTTGGTGCAGTTGTTGGCAGCGCAATTACGTCGGACAAACCAGGAGATTACGCCGGACGCGAATGTTTGGACACGCAGTAGCGGGGAGAGAGAAAGGTTCTAGCTCTCAAATTGCAGCCCACTCGACGGGACCCGTCCATTTTTGTAAGCTTCACGAGGCCGAAATCCTTCCAATCGGTGACAACCGCGTAAGCCGCAGGTTGCTCTAGTCAGCGTTCTCAAGCTCGTGATCCATCAACAGGCGAAATGACCTCCCGTTCCCATAATCTCTGCTTAGACATTGCCTGAGCAGCGGAATCGGGCACGTGGAGAGGACGCGGGTGACAAAGACTTCCAATGACAGCGAGCTAAACTGCCGGGTATTTATCCTGCCAACATTCAACACGGATGATAAAATCTCGGCAATTAACAACTCGTACGCGGACTGTCAATCCATCGTCGCACCAATCATGACCCTTTGCGATGATCGTGAGACCTGCTTATTGCAAAACGTACAGTACGGCCTAGAATTCGTGTACCATGCCGACATTTGCGAAAGATGTATACGCTTTCGCTGAACGGCATTGAGAAAGGTTATAATACTGATTATCTTGTAGTCTATTCTGAAGTCAGTTCAGTCACGATAGGATGCCGGCATTTTAAGGAGCTTCGTTCTGATTGCTTACAAAACGTTTGTACCAGAACAAGTGGCTACTTGATTAGTATGCTCCTTTGCCATTGATTTTGACTGCCTTTATAAATTCAAATATGTTCTATGGAAACATGATGAAAAAGTTATTTCTTGTACTCGTTCAGTAGGAAATTACGCCTTCTTTAAATTTCGGGTTTAAAAAGGTTCTAATTATGAGCTTTTTTTACGATTGTAAGGTGTTCATTCATTTTACCTCACATCCATCAATTTATTAATACTGCCTATAATGTATACAGCATGTTCCACATCTGTTGCAATATTTTATGAGAATTATGTGACTTCTTCCTCAAATTGTAGGCGAGAATGTACTTTTCCTTAAGCGGGATGTACAAAGCGCGCACTTTGTAAACCTTGAATTCAAGTGTAGCACTAAGAAGGTTTAAAAATTATTCGGCAATTTAGCAACTTTTTAAAGCCGAAAGACACCCTTTCTTTGGGTATAAAATGGAAAGAAGGCGTAATTTGCTACCAAGCGAGTACAAGAAAGAATATTTTTGTATATTTTCCATAAATTATATTTGAATTTATAAAGGCAGTCAGAATTCATGATAAAATTGCATACTAATTAAGTAGGCAATTTTTACCGTACATACGCTTCGTTGGCGGTCAGAACGAAGCTCGTTAAAAAGCTGGCATCCTATCTTGACTGAATTCACTTCAGAATAGACTTCATGATAATCAGTATTATAGCCTTACTCAATGCCGGTTAGCGAAAGAGTATCAATCTTTCGCAGCTAGAATGTACACCTGCTTCCTTGAACAGCTGAAAGTTCTCAGAAATCAAAAATGTCTAAAATTGCGCAAAAATGATATTCGAGTATTTATCTCGATCACGGTCGAGAGGAAGTGAATCTGATATCCAAAATGCCTTTTTCCCACCAGGGGTTTTGGTTTAACCAAGTGGTGATAATAACTTTGCCAGTAGTAACCACTGCGGTGTCAATTAGCTGAATGAACGTCTGCTTCTGAAAGGCTTAGCCACTGTCAAGCGAGAACCTCCTTCCATTAAGTTCACGTTGGAGGTGGAAACGGCAGGTTCGCTTCTTTTCTTGAACGTCCTCCTAAGTCGAAGACTTGATGGTAGCGCCCAAAAAAAGTTTATCGTAAGAAAACCTTGTCTGGACAATATGCAAACTTTTGCAGTTTCTTAGCCGTCCAACAGAAACGCAATCTAGTCCGCTGCTTAACGCAAAGGGCTGGAAAAATTTCCTCGGCAGACAGTATTAAAATGGTACTTAAGAAAACCCAAGACCTGCTTCGTGAGAACGTGTATCCTGGGAGATTCATCACAAAGGATATGGCAGCGAAACAAATAAAACCCACCACACCCACTTTGGAAAAGAATACGCTATTCCTCAAAGTCTCAGTTGAATGGGATGTGGTAGTGAACTTTTGAGAAGCCACCCTAACCAAGCCGTGTCACGAACCTCCCCAGCAGCGAGACTTCGGGTAGTATTCTCAACCAATTTGGGGAAGGTAGGGATAGGTTGCCAGCTCAGAC